AATAGCGACCTCTAGTGGCTTGTGCTGGGCAGCTGTGCGCAGACAGGGCTTCTGCTACCTGCCCGGTTGCTATGGAGTTTATCTCCACTGCGGCTGTGGGCGTGGCCTGGCTCGGGCTGCTCCTCCAAATGGTGGAGTCCCGTTGGAGGGGGAGTGTCCAGGAGGCTATTTATCTCTGTAAGGGGCCTCTGTGCTCCCTGATGCCCAGGGGATTAGAGTGCCCAGAGATCCCCAGATTCCCTGCCTCTGGATTAAGTGTCCTGCCCTGCCCCTTTAAGAGTTCCAAAAAGCACTCTCCAAATCAAAACAACAACAGCAATAAAAAAAAAAATAATAAAAAATTTAAATAAATAATTAAAAAAAAAAAAAGAAAAACGCCCGATTTTCTTTGTCCTCAGGTGCCGGTCTCAGGCACCCGCTCACCGGTCCTGCTTCCCTGTTTCCCTAGTATTGGGGTCCCTGTCCCTTGAAGACTTCCAAAAAGCACTTGCCAAAATAAAAAAAAAAATGCCGCTCCCATTTCTTTGTTCTCCAGCATCGGCCTCAGGCACCTGCTCACCAGTCCTGCCGCCCTGTTTCCCTAGTATCCAGGACCCCACGCATGCACTGTGTCTGCGCTCTGGTCTGGATGGGTGTGGCTGGGTGTTCAGCAGTCCTGGGCTCCTTCTCCCTCCCTGCTGACTCCTCTCCTCCCACCAGGAGCTGGGGGAAGGGGTGCTCGGGACCTGCCGGACCGGGGCTTGTACCCCTTTCATGAGGTGCTGGGTTCTTGCAGGTGTGGATGTGGTCTGGATGTTGTCCTGTGTCCTCTGGTCTCTATTTTAGGAAGAGTTGTCTTTGTTATATTTTCATAGATATATGTGTTTTTGGGAGGAGATTTCTGCTGCTCTACTCATGCCACCATCTTGGCTCCTACCCAAAATTTGACTTGTTTATCAGAAAATACAGTTAAGGAAATGAGTGAAAAGACAAGCCACACACAGACAGAGGAAAAATATTTGCAAAACATGTATCTGGTGAATGACTTGTATACACAATTCCTAAAGAACTCCTACAATTCAGTATTGAGAATACAAGCAAAAGGACAAAAATATGAGCACTTCAAAAAAGAAAATACACAAATTATCAGTAAGCACATGAAAAGATGTTCAACATCTTTGGCCAATAGGAAAACACAGTTTAAATCTACAGTGAAATAGCATGGCAAATCCACTAGAAAGTTTAAAATTAAAGTGCCAATTGGTAAGGATGGGAGCAAATGAAAATCTCATCTAAGGCTGGTGGAAATTCAAAATCATAATGTCACTTTGGAAAACAGTCTTGTCATTTCTTATAAAACTTAAACATACATATGTCCATAGAAGGACTTATCTATTAATTTTCATGAAAGCATTATTCATGATAGCTAAAAACTTAAAATAATCTAAATGTCTATCAACTGGTATATGAATGAGCAAACCGTAGTCTATTCACACAATGGAATAGCATTTGTCAATAAAAAGGTATGAACTGATTCTTGAAAGAGGACGAGGGAATTTATGAAAGTAATATTTCAAAATTTGAGTGTGGTGGTGGTTGTACTACTCTGCTTATTTACCAAAAGTCACCAAAATGATGACTGAAACTGATCAATTTTGTTTTGGGTAGATTATATTTTAGTTATAGCTCAATAAATTATGAAAGAATTATGTTGGTAGTTTGTTATAAATTATGTACATCCAGGAGTTGAAATGTAGGATTATATTACATGGAAGACATAGATGAATAGGTAGATATAGAGAGGTAAACATTTTATTGTTTTTTCCATAGAGAGAAGTTTATTCCTGGATATATTATATTTTGCTTATTATTTGGTATGGGTTTTATTTTCATATCTTAATTTATAAGGATCTGAATTTCAGTGATGAAGAAAGACATTTTTCTTTTCACTAAGGAACTTACAGTGATAATCATATGTCTGTAAGAAAGCTGTTGAGTTCATTACAGGACCAATTCAATGAGATCTCTTGCAGTTATAATGGTTTTGCAGGTGATTCTCATGAGTTTTTTTTCCATGTAGATAAGTCATATCATTTGAAGATTTAAAAAATTGCTCTTCTCTTTCCAGTATTATAAGACCTCATTCTATTTTTTGATTGCATTACTTAGCATTTCCAGAAAGACGTTAAATACTAACGGTGAATTGAGCAACTTGCCTTATTCTTAAACTCTAAATAGAATTACTTTCTGTTCCAACATTAAGCATGATGACAGTTATTAAGATGCCATAGATGTTTATATCAAGTTAAGAAACTATTCTTCAATTTCTTTTTTGCTAAGAGTTTTATCTTTAATATGAATGGACATTAAATTTATCAATTGCCTTTAGATCATCTATCAAAATGATCTTTGATTTTGCTCCTCTGACCTACTAGGAAAATTAATTATATTGATTTCTAATATTAAATTATAGTGGGGAACTTTCTTTTTTCACATACTGCTGGATTTATTTGCTATTATTTCACTTAGGATTTGCCTTTATCTTCAGAAGAGAAATGGTTCTACTTTTTGCCATTTTTGTTAGGTTTTGTTAATAGGGTAATTTTACTGTTACATTATTATTTACATTAATTGAAGAATGGGCTCCTTTTTTATCCTTTGAACAATTAAGATGAATGGGATTTACCCTTTTCTTAGAAGTTTTGAATATTTCGACTATAAAACAGTAGATTGTGTGCTTTTTGAGGAAAATTCTTTTATGGGACTTAAAATATCATGTTTATTGATCTATTCAGATATTTTCTTTTTGACTTAGTTTTAGAAATATATATTCTCCATGAATATCATGACTTTTACCAAGATTTTAATAATCATTATTGTTTAGTTTTATATGACATTTGCATGTCCTTAAATATCTGCCCTATAACTTTGGTTATAACATATCTCTTTCCAAAACATTTTGTGTCTGCTCCCTCTCAATCTTATTCACTCTCTCAGTTTCTGTCTCTGTCTCTTCTTATTGATGAGCCTTGTCAGATGTTTTTCTCTGCCTTTTAAGAAGAAAATAAAACAAGATTTGTATTTATTAATTTCACTTTTTGTTTTCTGTTTCATTTCTACTTGTATCTATAAAGGTATATTCCCCACTAAATGTTTCTGTGTGGCCTAGGATTTGTAGTAGATGCTATGAGTTGCCTACCCAATATTTGGGCTCACATTTTTAACTAAATAATTGAATCCTGACATCAATTTAGGCAATACTTAAGTCTTGCCTAAAGCTTGTCAAAAGTCTTGTCCAAAAACTACATTTTTAAAGTTTTGCTTGAAGGTAGGTGTGACCATGTCCCTAACCCTGGCCAATGAAATGCAGACGGGAGGTGGGAGGTGGGACTGTCAGGTAGGCTTTTTAGGGAAGTTGACTTTGCTCTTCCTTCTTCTTGCTGCTTCAGTGTGGCTGTTATGGCCAGAAATCTAGAGGCCACCTTGTCACTTTACAATTAAAGGATTGTAAAGGCGATAGGAGAAGAAACTTCAGTCTCTAATGTCTTATGAGACTCCAAAATCTGTCTTGGGATGCTTATCTCTGGAAGTTTTTCAGATGAGAGAGAAATAAACTTGCCACTATCATCCCATTCTCACCATAATCTATGCTCAACATAACAGCCATGCTTACTCTTGTAAAGGAATACCAGATTATAGTCTTCCTTTGTCCTAGTCATTATTATTTGTCTTGAATTCTATGTTGTTGATGATTGATTATTGGTATTGGCTTTTTGGTTTGTTTGATATTTTCCTCAGTAATTTATTTGGCTATGCCATAATTTTTAGCCTTTCATTTATTTTTTGTCATTTGGCTTTAGGTACAACTTAAAAGTTGCTTGTTATAAAATTTAACTGTTTCAATTTATGGTTTAATAATTGTCATTTAGTAACTTTCATTGAATACTTACTATACACACTGTGTTAAGCATTTATACATTATTTTCATTGCTTTAATCCTTGAAACAATCATAGATTTTATCAGAAGTTATCAGGAATATTCTTATCACCATTATACTGATGGGAGAGCTGAAGCTTAAAAAGGTGAAGTGATTTGGCCAAGATAAAGCGTCTGGTAAAAGAAGGAGAAAAGATTTGAATACAGATTTCTCTGAGTCCCAACATTTGCTCTGCTGTATCAGAGCCCATGATTTGTACACATGTATTCAGGAGGTTCTCTTTTGTTAGTATTTATAGTTATCTTATGTTCCATGATATTTTGTTCAATAATATTCTTTTGCTTTGCACAAATTTTCCTTTAATCTCCATAATGAGTTTTATCTCCTGAGGGCCTGGACTAATAGAGCTAATCAGAGACTCTCTGGAAGTGCAGACCTAGTCCTTTCTAGACCAGAATAGCTTAGAATAATAACATTGTTGTCAAGATGTTTACTATTTCATGTAGGAAAAACCAATGAACCATTCAAGTCATATAAAGTGAAATATAAGCAAAATATGAGTGAAAGTTTCTAATTATTATCTAATTTGTGAGCCAGTGATTTAAAGTCAATATTCACTAACTATTAAAATCTCTCTTTTTTTGTCAGTTTGTGTTCCAAAGATAATGAAACTAATGTAGCTTCTTGTTTTTTTTTCTTTTTAAAAACTTATTATTATTAAATGATATTCTCCCATTCACACAGTGAGTCCCTGGCTAAAACATTAAAATATATGTGCCATGAGTTGATTGGTCTGCATTTAGTGACCTGGAAATATGAGATGAGTACAGAAATGAAATAAAGAACAGATAGAAAAGATTCTCAGAGATTCAACTTAAAAAATTCTATTGTTTTTGCAAATAGTCACTTTCTCACTAGTCATAGGTGATGATCAGTTTATGCCAGGGATGTAGTAATGAACACTGACTTTGTCAGTGATCTTCTTTGGGGACAGAGAACTACTAACCTTGAAAACAAATATGATTTACATTCTTACATAAATCTGATAAAGAATTATGAAGGAAAAGAGAAGTTTCACCCTACCTCAAAAATGATACATAACGTTACTCTTAATCTTTGGCATCAGCAGAATATTTTGTGAAGTATTCCTTGTGTCACTCAGTTTTAGAGATTTCAAACTGGTATCTCCTTTTGCATCTGATTTTGCTACTGAAAGAAGGAGCCAGAAAAGAAGTATAATTAGAAATAGAGAATAAAACAAATTAAAATCAGTATTTAAAAATTTTGAAAGGAGATTCAGGTGACAAGACAATATTTTCAGCAGCCATTATTAATTTCAAAGTATATTTCCTTAGATTTAGTTTGACATGAAGGTACTGACAACCTCAGTTAGAAAATATCTATTTATCTGAAAAAATAAAATAATGGATGGTGTACAAACTGACTTATTTAAGCTTAAAACCATTTTGTTATTGAAAATGTTAAAAGCAATCACTTTTCAGAGTTATTTTTGGAATGGAACTGACCTAGAATGAAATTTATGACTTCCAGAAAATTAATCTCATTAGATTTTCTTTGTGTTTACTTTATGATAGTTTCAAATTTTGGTGACAGCCACATTAAAAACCAGTACCAAAGACTACTTTATGCTCACGACCAAAACAAAGAAAAAGATATTACTGTGACTGTATCTTCTTTCTCTTATGAATAGGATGAAAAGTACAACTTCTCTTTTTGGAAATAATTACCCTATACCAGAGCATAAGAAGTTTTGAATTAAGTTTAGAAACATTATATGAATACAAATGATTCCAGATTTAAAAGACAATGTTTTTCCACAGGCAGAAACTCATGGCAGTCAAAGAGTCACCCACATTCCAGCATCATAGCACAACCACAGAATCCCTATACAATGGGGGACTAGAAATATAAGTAAGATATGCTCTCTGTCTTCAAGGACTTTCAGTGGGGGGAGACATACAGAGCATGAATATGTATAAATTGAAGAAGAAAAACATTCCAGACTTCTTCGCAGGTACATCCCCCCTCCATGCCAGCCCCTTCCCCTGCACACAGAAACTCACACCTTAAAGATTTTCACATGTTGATATTCTTCAAGAATGGATCTCTGGCTCTTATCCTCTCTAATGTGACATATTTTCTAAGCAATCTTTAAGTCAACAAATGTATATCAAACACAGACTTCTTTTTTGATCTTAAGTGCACCTTAAATAGAAGTTTCCCGAAATGGAAAGAATCTTCTCCCTAGATCATGTCTTCCAGCGTTCTCTGTGTCGGGGGATGGCCCCACCACTCATTATGCATAATCCTGAAACACTGACATCTTCCTCCTTTATTCTGCATTTGAAACTATCTCTAAGTCTAGATGATCTCATGATCTAAGTACTTCTCAAACAAATGCACTTCTCTTGATCACCACCTACACCACCATAACTCAAGCTACCACTTCACACCTGAACTGCTACAATAGTCTGACAACTAGTTAATTTTCATCCACTTTTGCTATCCTCAAATAATTTTCCATGTTACAAACAGAAAGTTCTTTACAAAACTGTGTCACCTTCCCTGCATAAAACTCATCAGAGGTTTTCCATTTGCCTTGAAGACAAAATCTGGACACTATCATAAGAGATGCTCTCATTCTTCAGCCCTTGCTTTCTGCATTCTAGCCTCTCTTACTTTATTTCAGTTCTATAAACTAGCCAAGGTCACTCCCACCATGAAGCTTTTGCATTCTCAGCCCCTCTCTCTGGGATGCTGCTTCTCCTCTCTTCATCCAGTTAACTCCTACTAGTCCTTCAGATTTCAGCTCACCTGTTACTTACTCAGAAAAGTTCATCCCTACTACCTGGGAAAAACTACTTATACATATTTACTAAACACTTTTCTCACAGAGCTCTTTTCTTAGTTTATCCTTACATCTCAGGGTTATTATTTGATTAATATCTGTCTTCCACACCAATCTAAGCTCCAGGAGAACAGAACCTCTCACAGGACAGGACAGAGTACCTGGTTCGTAGTAGGCCTTTAAAAAACATTTGTTGAATGGATGAATGGATGGGGGACAGATGAAATGATGGGTGAATAAGTAGAGGAATCATTAATATGAAGTAAAAGTAGAAGGAGAATCGATTTAATCCTGAAAACAGGATCAGGATAGATTACGTGAGGTGAAGACTTTTGAGCTGAACCTAATAGGCTGAGAAAACTTAATAGACAGGGATAAGAGTCCTTCTAGGTTAGGAGAGAACATTTTAGAAAGTATAAATTTTTTGTTGTTGGCATGTTAAGTTAGCCAGGGTTGCCTGAGTAGGAATCTGTGAGTAATTATATAAAGGAAATATAGTGACATACCAAGGATACTATTTGGTAGGCACTAAGGAACAAATGAAGGCTTGGAGGAGGGCTATGTCATTATTTTAGCTGCTGAAAGATGACTTGAATTTGAAGGATGGACTATAGAGTCAAGATACTGAAAAGAGAAAAAACTGATTGAGAGGCTCCTCAGGAAAGAGAATGGATTTCTCAGTGAGGGCAATAGAAGTGGAGCTGGAAAGGAGAAAGGGCTAAAAACATCTCAGAGAATGAAGCAAAAGTGCTGGGTGACCATTCAAATGAGGGGAGAGGGAAATGAAGACACTGCAGATGACTTTCCTTTCTTTAACCTGCATGACTAGGAAGACTGGATATATAGATATAGATATAGATATAGATATAGATATAGATATAGATATAGGACCATAGGATGGCTAATCCTGGTGAAATATGCTCAGATTAGGAAAAATGAAAACTGAATAAACCAGCATAACATCGTCATGGACATGAGTGACAGGTAATAATTGCAGTCCTGACCTTTGACCCTGAAAAAGAAGCCTTTGCCTTTGAACAGCAATTAAGAGGACTCTACCTTGGCACTGGTCTGGATATGCTTCCCCTTGGGTGAGAACTGCACAGTTCTTAAAAGGATCTGCCCTGCAATCCACTGCCCATGATAGAAGAATCTGAGTTCTTGGGAGTCTAGATACTATGACCAAATTCCCCCAAGTCCACTTCTAGGATTGGTACAGGCGTCTCCTTTGGGTTCACTCTCTGATGTGCCTCCTTGAAGACCAAAGCCTGCACCTGAAGTACAGGACCCCTTTGCCTACATACAGGGCTCCAAGTGGGCCAGAATGTGAAAGAGCAAAGGAATGGGACAGGCATGGAGTGGTTCTTCCCTTCTCTTATGTTCTGGGGAGGAATTCCCAGAATCCTAAGAAATTTAAATTAAAAGTTGGCCTTCAGGTTTTTGTGAAGGCATATTTGTCAGAAGTTCAACTATTCAATTATATTTTTTTAGCAATTTGTTAGGTGACTTATGATTTAAAAATTTTAGAAAGATGAAATGCCAGCTTCTTTTAGTACTTTTGAATCAAGTCCTGCAAAGTTTGAGAGAAGGCTTGTTTAAAGATTTGACATGGGGCATCTGTTAGGATATCAGCTGGAGTTAAAGACTCGAGAGTAATCAGCATAGAGCCATTCACTGACACCACAGATATGGAGGAAGGTTCTTCTGGACCAAGCACAGACTCAGAAGTCATTATGGGGGATTGGATGTAGGAAAGGCAGAAAGATGGGAGTTTGTGAATGAGACTTAGATGGAGCAGTCATAAGTATAGAATGCCATTTAGATAAGCAGTCAGAAACAGTGTCATGAAAGCCAAAGGAGAGTTTCAAAAATAGCAGTATTATTAATGTATCTTTTTACAGAGAGTTCAAGCAGGTTGAAAACTGAGAAGTGTAAACGACCTTTTAAATAATTGTTGCAATGATATTTTATGGGCAGTCATAAGATCTTTAGGGATTAAGAAGGAAATGAGATATGAGAAAGTGAGGTTCACAAGTAATGAATATTTCCTGAAAAATTTGGTAGTGAAGGGAATGAAAGAAATTAATGGGAAGTTTTTATTAAGACAGGAGATAATCTGACTGGTAACCAATGGTATAGAAAATATGGAAGATGCAGGAGTGGGTAGTAATTGATGGAGCAAATATCAAGACAGTTGGGAAGCAGCAGTGTCCATGAACTGGGTTGAAGTGTGTGACAGAATTGGTCTAGAAAGTAGGGGCTGCAATCTTATGTAGGTTTTGGGTTGGGGTGAATAAGTGATAAATATTGAGAGTTTGTACCTGGTGATCTTCATTTTTTATGTGATTCCTAGGACAGGGTTTTAGTAAGGATGTATGGGTAGTGTAAGAAAAGCAGAAATTTTCTGAAATAATTACTGTAAGAAAAGTAATCAGTAATTAAGTGGATTAGTGAGCACCTTTGGTCGAGGAAAGGCTGAAACACAGTTATTTGTCATCAGATAGGTCAGGTTTAGTCACGCCTCTCCTTCTGAGAGCATCATCACTCAGAAAGTCAGGGAATTCAAAAAGAAGTATATTTTAGGGTTTTGTCAAAGTTTTGTTATTTAATCACCTAATATTTATTGTTGCCTAAATAAATGACTTAGATAGGCATAGAATTTATATTTGGGGACCTAATTGTACAGTGGAATTAGTACAAAGTCAAGTAGTCAACGAAATTTTGAATGCTTGTAAATGATAGTTGAAACTCATCATGGAGATCAAGCTGGGTTAAGAATGAGAGTGAAACCAGATAGTAAACTTGGTGAGATCAGGAACAATCAGAATGTTTCTCTGTAAAATCTGCATTGACCGACACAATGTCTACTAGAGAACAGCTTTAAAAACCCCTGATTAAGAAATTAATGAATGATGTTGATCTGATAAAAATAAATGCATCTGACATAAATGAATATTTAGAGACAAGTTGGACATGGAAGACTGGTTGAAATTAAAGAGTAGATTAGGTGGTAGTACGGGACTGACAATGGAAACAGTAAGTATCAGGGAGGAAGAATCTAGAATTTGATAAAGGCCAAAGAATTCTGAATAATGTAGGTGCTAAAGTGTGTCTCAGTTGAAATGCTATAACTCTGGGGGAAAATCCCAGGGCAAAATACCTTTGAAACCAAAATCAGTCAAAGGGAGAAAAGTGGAAGAAACCCATTTATGCTTATAAGCAGTTGTCCACTTCTGCTCTCCCATGTCTCACGTGACCCAGCTGCAGAAAAAGGGGCTCTTCACAACCTCTATGGTCCAGATATGCCCTCGCTTGCCCTTGTAATTACCTATTGATACGG